AGAAACAAAGACTAGCAAGATTTTGTTTTATTAATAACAGAAATTATAGAGTTGAAATGTGAAATAAGTAAAAACAAACAATATAATACCACTATGGTAAAGTTCTTATTTACTATTATCTACATAAGCTTTTAAATAATTCAAGTATGATTTGTATTTGTTTTTTTGTAGGTTTTTTTTTTGTATGTGTAACAAAGAACACCTAAACAGTGTGATCTTAAAAAAGAATTGAACCCTTGATAACACTGAAAATAATGAAACTTTTAAATCCTCTAGAATGTGAAAGACTGCTCAGGGATTATAACTAATGCATTTTATTCTTATGACTTGCTGATTCCACCGACAGCTGCCTTAGGGGTGCAGTTCTAATCAATGGCTTTATCCACTTGGCAATCTATACCTCAGAAACACAAATCGGAGAAAACTATCAATGTATAAAAGAGACCTATAAATCAGAATGTCAGGTGGGCATAGTTCCATTTTAATAACTAGTATTTAGCAATTATTGAATAAAACATTATGTGGACACAAATTTATGGTCCTCATATCCCTTTGGATGCCATCACCTCCCTGTAGAAATATAACAGCCTTTGTTATTTTCTTCCAACAACAGGAATGACAAGTTCCTGACAGGAGAGCAAACCGCTGACTTGAGGACAAAATATGGGCTTCCTTTTCTAATACTAGCCTGAGAATTTTATCTTTGAAATGTGCATCTGTATAGAAGTGCAGAGGATATTTGCTCCCAATAAGCTGCAACCCAAGAAGTCCCAGCATGTTGACTAGTTCCTCTGTGTTGGTATCACATGCACGATGGGGACTATTAGTTCACAGGAATCAATATGAAGAGCAAACAAGCTAAAGTGCAAGGGAAAATGCCACTTCTCAAGAGTTCTTTGCATTTCTTTTCTCTCTTCAGCTGCAAGCATATCATTCATGTATGTTATATGTTTGAAGTGTGCTGTTTAATTTTCCCTTCCTTTGAAAAACTCCTAAGGGTCCTTGTGAAAGGTCACACCATGAGCAGCTGCATCACTGGAAGCTCAGTGTTTCCTTGAAAGTAAATCTGTAGGGCAAATAGTCAGCTGCTCCTGGGTCCTCTACCTGGAGGACCTTCCCGAGAAATAGTGCAGCCCACTGGGGATTATTAATGCCATAGGAAGGGGTCTCTAAGCCTAAGTAGATACTTCCGTAACTAGCATTGGTAAACAGTGAAGATGTATAATTGGTCCTCCACCTTGACAAAGCTGTTAGTCTTAGAATCTGTAAGGGAAAACAGACAGAAAAATATTATGAGAGGTGGCTGAAGGCAGGAGTGTCACTTCACCTGTAGGCATGGGAAAGTTCAAGTGTTTCCATTAAATGTATGAGAGAGGAATGAGCAAGGACATGTGTGCAGATGAGACAGGGAGCCTAGGAGACTGTGCACTTACAGAGGAGCCACTGTCTGCAGTTCAAGTGGAATTCCCATCACGATAACAGTTAATTTACAGTCACCCACCACACATTCATTTTCCTCAACAATAGACATTTCAAAGAATGTCACTATTTTTATCCTTTTAAACAAACGTTATGGAAAGGTAACATGTGAATGTGCTTGGACATTCACAAATCCCTGTGTGAAAAGTAAGTGCTTATCCTCAGAGGAGATGCCATAAGAAACACAGTATAAACACTGTCCAGTAGGCAATACACAAAATACCGTGTGAGTAATGAAAATGACAGGCAAAGCAGAGCAGTTAGCCAAGAGGACATATCTCACTTATTTCCACTGGTATAAAGATACATCCAGTTCTCTCTGGTTTATCTCAGTTCCCGGTGGGTGTAATTTCATGGTTGGCGTCAACAAACTCTTGCATAAATTTCCCTGGCATTGTGTAAGAGTTCAGTTGGGTTCCCCACCTTCACCATCCGCATCTGTGTATTCACTGCTGACCTGCTATTAACACGTTTCTTGAACTGTCTTAGGAACACACATGATGAGAAAGATCAGTACTAACAACACTTTTTAATAATAAAATTTGTTTGTAAGGAGAAATTCAATATTGTTTAGTCATTTTATAATTATTGTTAGTGAATATTCCTTCTGTTGAGGTTTAAGAAAGGAAAGTTACCAGATTCCTCCTTTGACTAACTTGAGAGGCAGCCAGAGCTCATCTTTCAATATTCTCTCTGAATTGCCTTCTTCAGTGAGGCCTAGTAAGCATATAGCATTGAGTTCTTGGTTTTCTCTATTCCTGCAAGCAGCTTCTGTCAAACCTTACCAACCCTCTTGTCAAACCACAGACATAATTATTCTTCTGAACTAAGCATCAGAGCCTTATCTAATTCTACAGACTGCCCCTCATACAGAAGAACTCATCCACTAAGATGAAATTCTTCTTTTAAAAAAAAAATGAATGTCACAAGGGGTTGGGTGGGTTGCAAGGAGGCACAGTCATAGTACAGTGGGTAGGGAACTTGCCTTGCATGTGGCTGAGCCAGGTTGAATCCCCAGGACCCTGATAGTCACCTGAGACAGTCAGGAGTGATCCCTGAGTACAGAGCCAGGAGTAAGGCCTGAGCACTGTCAGGTGTGATCTACCATCCCCTCAAATAAAACAAAACAAACCATCATGCCTTTGAGCTTTAGATCGTCATTTCCAAGTGGCAGCAGCCATGAGCAATATTTCTTTGAGATACAGAGCTAAACCCATTCTTTCCTAGACCTTAAGCCTATTCACTAGAGGGTCACTCTCTATTTTCCTTCTGGGCTTTCTTAGAAAGCAACTTTACCCAACATGCACTGTATCAACAAGTAACTATTGAAATGCCAGGAACTATTCAGATGCCTGTGGCAAGCCCTCACTCTCACTGGGAACACATGCCAGTAAAGTAGAGGCATTCTCAGCTTGAAACATGAGAAAGTACTCTCTATAATAGTCCATATCATAAGTGACTTGTGAGTCACATATTTCTTTCAGCTCTTTACTGTATCCTTTATACTGTGTTCCTGGCACTTCCTTTGACATTCAGAATGGAAGTGTGTGGAGAGATCTTTGGAAGACAGAATCTGAGATTTTCTTTAGCTAACAAAATTTCTATTTAACTATCCTCGCTGCTTTTTACCTCTTTCCAAGATTTTATCCTTTGTTCTAACCAATACAAAAAGGACTCCATTATGAGAAAGTATATATAAAAGTTAGACGCAAGTCTGAGTACTTTCAGATAATATTATAGATTTTTTTGACTGATAGAGACTGATAGAGAGGAAAATTTTTGGTTTTGTTTATAAGCCACACCCAGCAGTGCTCAGGGCTTCCTCTAGATTCTGAGCTCAAGAATCATTCCTGGCAGGGCTCTGGTGATCACATGTGGTGTTGGGGACTGAACCCAGGTGGGTTATACACAAGGCAAACACCCTATCCATTGTAATTGTACTTTTATTCCAGCACCAAAAGAGAAGAATTTTAATGTGTGTCCTTATCAGAGCTTTGTTAATTTAGCCTTTGTACAGAAAGTTGGAAATAAATTGGAGCACTATGTATTTCTATGTAGCATTATTTCATTGTAATTCAAATTAAACTTGGCTTTCAATCCAAGTTGCAAAATGAGAAGGGATAGCTTTAACAATAGCATGAGTTTTGGCTTGAAGTTTAGATCCCAATCAGACTTTTTAATTCACCAACTAGTTATTTTCCTAACTGAAAGTTCATTGGGCAGTGTACTCTCTAACCACATTCCAGGCTTTAGTTGAAGCATTTGATATTCATCCACCCCAACTTTCTGGCAGAAGCCTTAGTGTCCCTGAAGCACAAATTGAAAGCTGCTGATCGAGGTCAAATATTCTAGTCATATTTGGAAGAAACCAAACCCAAGGAGATTAAGTTATTTGCTAAAAGACACACAGCCATTTAGTATAACAAATACAGACTCAGACTTCCTGTAATAATTTCTTTTTTTCTATGATGTTTCCTGCAATGAAAATGTGATGGTACCTTGCTGACAGGCTCTTATTTTCAATATTCAAAGAAAAATACAAAATACAAGGGATCCCTCTGCTATAAGACCTATGTCTTTCTGAATTCAAAAGTCCCCATTTATCAATACCAGAGAACCATATCCCTTGTAGTCTGGAGGTGTGTTCTCAGGCTGGGCTTCCTAAAACATGGCAAAAGGCAAATCTTTGCTCAAGTGCTTTTTCAAAAAAGTGGAGAATTAGATGTGTGGAGCATAGGGTAGGAGAACAGAACCCTGAACTTGGTGCTTGATCAGGGACGCCCAGGAAGCTTGATTAGCTATATCTCGATCATAATTCCCCTCACTACTCCAAAAATGGTCATAAGTTATCCCACCTTCCTTTATTAATGCCCACAAAAGGTACCCTAAACCACAAGACTATGAGTGGGTCCCCAGTAAGACTGGTCCTGGCTTCTCATGCTCAAATTAATGCCATGAGATAGATTAGTGTACACTTCTGAACAGCTAGCAAAACTGCATACAGATGTGTTTGTTCTTCAGGCAGGGAATCTGATGAAGGTTTTTAACATGGATCTGACAAATGAAAACTATCCAGTTCTTTCTTTTTTGCCCATTTTTTTTTTATTTTCCACCTTGACCCCCCAGAGTCTTTTGGTGTGGAATTTTTGGCAGGAATAGAGCCCTCTGACCTCAAAGCAAAGAGAAAAAGTGAGTAAGTTCCTAGTCACTTACTTTAGCTCCTTTATCTCTGCAGCTTCCTGGTTCTTGGTGAACCACAGCCCACTTCCCTCCTGCCTGTCACTGATAGAGCTTTGGCCGCTGCTGTCTTCCAGTCCTTGGCTTTATCCAATAGGCAGTCCTTGGCTTTATCCACAGGGAATGACTTGACCAGTTTAAAATTAACTCCTCACACTCTGGTAAAGGAAACCACAATCATTTAGTTTCTATGTGACAAAAGCCCACATGTGCAAATTGAGGTTTATCAGGCTCCTTTGTGAGATACATTATTAACATGCTGTCTGCACTGTCCATCTTTTTAGGAAGAAAATGAGATCCCTGCCGATGTGTTTGTGAAAAAGCCTGCTCCCTGCACTGTTGAAGGAAAGGAGGAGCTGGTGGATGAAAACAAGTCCCTGGAGGAAACTTTGCACACAGTGGACCTCTCCTCGGATGATGAATTGCCCCCCGATGAGGAGGCCCTGGACGATAGCGCTGAGGAAAAGCTGGAGGAAAGTAGAGCAGAGAAAATCAAAAGATCCAGCCTCCGAAAAGTGGATAGCCTCAAGAAAGCATTTTCTCGCCAGAACATTGAGAAAAAGATGAACATACTGGGAACGAAGATCGTCTCTGCAGAAAGGAGAGAGAAGATTAAGAAAACCCTCACTTCCAATCACCAGAAAATCACCTCGGGGAAAGGCTCCCCATTCTCTTTCGGTCGAAAGAAAGTCCGAGAGGGAGAGAGCCCTGCAGATCAGGAGACCAAGTCTGAAGACTTGCCCAACGATCAGGAGGAAGAGGGTCTTTCTGAAGGTGCCCCCACAGAAGGGAAGAGCGTGGAGGGGGAGGCCGGGAGAGCCGCGTCCAGAGGTAGTAACTCGGCCCTGGGCAGCAACGTCAACTTGACTATTGCGGAAAATGAAGAAGAAGACTCAGTGGCCCTGGAACAGGCACAAAAGGTGCGCTACGAGGGAGGCTATGTGCTAAGCTCTCAGGAGGCGGAGAGGTCGGATGAGGAGCCCGTGCAGCCCGCCGTGCTCCGGGTGGACCAGGCCTCCTGAACTAGCCCCGCCTTGGTGCCTGCTGGTGCTTCCAGCTAGCCTCTAACCCGAGCCTGGAAACACAATGCCTGCACATCTACTGCAACTACCCAGGCATTGCTGTGCCACTGTGCAGTCTGCATGAATTTAGGGCGTGGTCAGCAGCACAATGTAATTGACATTTCCTCTAAAGGCAAACTGTCCGGGTCTCCACTGCTAATCCTTTTTTGAGGTTCGGTTTTTCACGAAATCTCCCCATGCTTGCCCTGGAAGGGGAAATGAAAGCAATTTGGCCCAGATCAATGTGGCTTAGGCAGAAAATCCAGAGACTACTCAAGATATTAGTTACAAAATGTGATTCATTTTCTGTCATTCCATAGGCTTGCTGAATAGTACACCAGTAATAAAGTTGCACAAAACTCTGTGAACCAGATCATCCGAATGTGTGACATATAACATAGCTAAAGATGTAATTAAGCTAAAGAGGCTTTTAAATGGCAAAAGAATGTTCACCTCTTGACTTCATAGACACCGTTGTTTTACTGGAAAGGAAGGAAAATTTGAAAGACTAATATTCTGTCGGTGAAATAAAATATGCATATGCAGGAAAATCGGGACAATTAGAAAAAGAAAATTAAGAAGGAGAAGCTGGACAAGGGAAATGGGAAACAAAACTGTCAAAGAGAGTGAAGACCAACATAAAAGTGTATGTTCTTAAAAGTAAAATACTTATTTTGACTTGACTGTTTAGCTCTTTATTAATACTAAAGAAGAAATCCCTATACCCTGGACTAATACATTATATTTTTATTCATATTTTCAAATGTTTTTAGATAACATACAAAATGTTTTGCTATGTTAATGCTTATTTTTCTTCTTAAAAAATACAAGACATTACCAATTTTCTCTGAGGGAATTCAAAAGACATTGTCTCTTTAAAATTTTAGCAAACAAATTTTGAAAATTCACCACTGCCTTTTTGTAGGAAATGGATCATACTATTCTTTAATTTTTTAAAAATAACCCTTACACTCAAACTGATGCAATGTAGGTTCATAATATGTTAAGATCAATAGACTTAGGATGGAAAAGGGCAGGATTTTTTCCCCTTCCTTTTTCTGTACATAGTGGAATTTCATCACAAATCATATTTTAATTATATATTAATTTCACAGAATAGTAATACACTTCTTAGAGCATGCTAGAATTTATATGTACACATGTACTCAGACAAGTTAATTTTTACTACAATGGTAAATTTTTGTTAAAATTACAGAACACTAGTATTTTTAAAAACTATCAAATTATAGTTGTACCCTAGAGAAAATTCTCATCTTTGTTTTTTATCTAGCACTATAGTAACCTCATAACACTAACATTTAATATTTGTTTTATATAAATAATAGGACTAACATATTATGGCATAACCTATATAGTTGTGTTTTTATATTTCAGTTATGTATCCCAAGTATTAGACTGTTGAACTAACAATAGCTGTGTTGAAAACTAAATAAATCACCCATTAAAAGTATACCACAATTTCAGTTGTTTGTTTGTCTGGGGCAGAACAATTTTAGAAAGAGCAGTGAGAATTGATTTTTAAAATCTCCTCCAAACATAGCCATAATGGTGATTGTTTGAGTCCTGATATCCCTTATTAACTCTGTTTTCTTTTTCTCCCTGATCTCATTTAGAAATACAAGTCTCATTCTTCAAGTTTAACTTTCTTGACATCAGCTTGCCAACTCTGGAGAGCATCTGAATTTATTGCAGCAGCTTGATGAATTTGATAGTTCCATCTGCATTTTTATTGTTTTGTACCAACCCTTTTAATACCTTAAATAGCCCTGTGAACATGAGCATATCGAACAGTAAGTCAGTTTATTCACACAGATAAACCTTTGTCTTCTATAGTACCATATACTTGGTAGACTTAATTTAACCGGGGCCCTGAAGAGTGCCTGCTTAACTTTTATGAAGTTGTTGTCACTTCTTGCAGCTGGAGAGATGAGAGGTCAGACCTAATGTACTGTTTACATTTCTATTTCAAAATTTTTATTTGTTCCTAAAATTATCTCACATCAGTGAAAAATTATACTCAAACAACTTTTCTATATTTTACTGACAAAATGTTCACTCTATGTTCACATTTGAAGCATTAAAATCCTAAGCAATAAAACAGAATTTGGCTAGGTAATTGTTGGAAAACAAAGACTGTCAGGATTAAAGAGAGCAGCCAATGTGGAAATTGGAGGTGTTCATTCTTTATTATTGTTGAATTATTTGCATACTGTTGAGCTGCAAAGTCCCCAAATTAGATCTGTCTTGTCCACCTTCCACCTCCATCCAATAACCATTTCTAACTTTATGAGCCTGGAGCTCAAGAACTGGATTAGTTTTCCTCTAAAGATTGGTTATACATTAGTAAGCACTGAGATCTGTATCCTAGGAACATAATTCAAGAGTAAAAAGTGTCTATTACATGGATCATAAATCTGACAGATATGTAGCAACAATGTCATTTTCCTACAAGATTTTATTTTTTAAGTATATAGGCATATATTTCATCAGGAATATTTTATTCTTTCCATTTAGGAATCTAGTATATGGTTGAACTTTTTACACGTGAAAATAAAAAGCTCGTGCTAAACCCAGTTCTGCATAAAATAAGGATTTCTCATATTTATTATTTAATGAAAGCCGACAATGTTTCTACTTTTAGTGATGCTTATGCTGAAGAACTAAAATTGAACCTCATGTATGAGAAAATTATAAAACTCCAACAAAGCCAAGTTGCTAGTGTGAGTAAAGGTTATCATGAAAGTCATTTTCTACATTAAGACTCTAATGCCCAAGTCCAGTTAATTCTTGCTTGAAAGTTTGTTTGCTGCACTACAGCCCAAGTCTGAGTGATTTTATATTGGAGAGTGGGAATGAGGAATCGAGATAGAGGCAGCAATCGTTATTAACAGTTCCATAGCAACCACAAGTCTTTTCCTAAAAACCAAGATTCTAACACTGAAAAACAAGTTTCAGATTAAATGAGCACTGTGACCTTGGTATTGTGCTTGATTTGGGTGTTGAGATAAAGACTTCTGTAGCCAAAACCGCAAATTATGAAAAACACATTCTTCATAATTTTGTTTTAACCATAACTTTACCCTAGAGTTTAGAGTATCTGAAACTCTAAAGTTATTTTTTAACTTTACACAAATTGGCCCAATTAAAAAGTCACACCTTGGACTGGAAAAATTGATACAATAAGTAGGGTGCTTGCCAATGCACAAAGCTGACTAGGATTTGATCCCTGGCACTGCACATCGTCCTCCAAGCCTTTCCAGGAACAATCCTTGAGCAAAGAGCCAAAATTAAGTCCTAAGTACATTATAGGTGGATATGGCCCCAAACAAAAATATATTCTTTATCAAATCAGCTTGACAGTTCATACAGTTAAAATCAATCATATGCTGAGTAGTGTAACTTTTACCCTTCACATTTGCTAAAATTACTAGAGTCCAAGACAACAAGAAACAAGCATGGCAGAGAGGGAATGAATTTTTGCTTAGTTTGGGGATCACACATGACTTTGCAAAGGGGCTACTTTTTACTCTATGCCTAGAAGTCACTCTGGAAAATACTTGGGGATGAGATGGGGCCATAGATCAGACCTGGGCCTCGTGCATGCACAGCACATGCTCAGTATGTTGAACTATATCTCCAGTTCTGGGAACCAACATTTTTGAGAGTTTACTTTATGCCAGCTGGGTATGCTAACACCAAAAATAATGTATGCCTAGTTGTATGCCAGACACAATGTAGTCTCATTTAATCAAATAAACTATTACAATGGTACTGTTTTTAACCTAGTCTAACACTAAACTAGGAATCAAAGACTTTTGAAATTCATTTCTCCAGCATGGAATCAGGGATGAGTGGAAATTTCAGATTTCTTAGCCACTCTAAATTTTTCCTCATCATAATTTAAGAGTTTTCCTTGGACAATCACAGAGTTTAGACACTTGTCCGAGTTCTCCAATTTGAAGTGTTGCTCCGCATTCAATCACAGCCTGAAAATCCATGATACTGTCAAACAACATCCTAATTGTTACCACCCTACTGTGCTTAATTATAAATCACTTTATAGCTCTCTTATGGTATAAAATTAACTTCATTTATTGTCTTTTAGATAGGATCCCATACAACTGTACTTTACAAATTATTTTGATGAGTATCATACATTATCTAGACTAAAAAATGAACAGCTCTCAGTTCTTGAGAGAGACTGTTATTTAGATCTGCTAAGGGAGCAGAGGGGCTCCTAACCTCACTGGTACTGGGCATTGTCAGTAGCTGCAGGGCATACTTTGGGGCATGATTTAATAAGGGTAAGCTGTCAGCAATGATAGATACTAGATTCAGCTAATTCAAAGATGGCACAAGAAATCTGTCTCAAATTCTTTAAGTTAAAGGATTCATTTCCCCATGTCACATTAGAGAAATCACTATATTCTGCTGGAAAGAGAAAAAAGCAAATCTCAAATCAACATGGAAGAGCAGAGGATGGAACTTAAATATTTGGGAAGCAGGATGACCTAGCCTCTGAATTTAATTCTTGCAAAATCATCTGGCTACATCCCAGGGAAAGTAGGCACTAAGTCAAGCAAGTGCTGTTGTCTCCATTTCTATGCAATTTTTCCATTATAAGCAATCAAAAGAAATCCTCTAGGCCAGTCCTCATTCATAAAGCTCTGTGCTTCAGGCAATGACTTTTTCCAAAGACTTTGGCAATGGTCACAAATTCAGTGCCTCAGGGGCTTACACAATGGTAGAATGGTTTGAGGAGGTGGCAGTAACTATAGTAAACCTGTTGTGTGTGTGCCCCATGTCTTATCTGATGGAGCAACCTTATCAGTCATCAACTCAGAGGTGGTACCTTTCACTAAATTCCATAAAGGTTCAGTATGTTCTGGAGAGCTATCTCCTGAGAGTATGTGTATACCCTGGATCATAGTAAACTCTAAACCACTGCTCAAATTCAATTGCTATGCAGGGTTCAATGATGCAAAAGCTTCAGGTTCTTTTAAAGAGGGGCAAAAATTAAGGGATTTTTTTTTACATAAAAATCTCTCAGCTTTTAATTTTTCGCAACTGGTTCAAAGAGTTTTAAACAGTGTGTGGATCAATCATAACTCTGCTGACCAGTTGTAATATAGGCATAGTCCATCACTTTCTAACTCCTGACCAAAAACCACAAAAACCCTTAATTTCTCCTTCCTTTTTCTGAGGCACAGGCATGAGATGAGAAACTAGAAACAGGATTGACTTTGCATTCAGAAAAGTACAAAAGCTTTCTTAGTTAAAAAGTACCCTTGCTAATGGTTGTAAGAAATTTTCTTTTCCCATTTGATGAATTTATGAGATGATTTCTCTTAATACTACATCATGTATCAGTGAGGCACCAGTTGTCTATCATGGTGAATGGTGGTTATATATTCTCTAATGAGAAAACACCAATTCTTATTATCCTTGTAAACTACCTGTTGAATTACCCAGAGAATTAGTGTTTGGGGAAAATTGAGCATATAATGTGACTACATCCCCCCCTCTTTAAGTCCAGTTGAAATATATCTATCCCTGTCAATTCTCTGAAGGTGTTACAGAAGACAAAAAGCAAGTCTACATCCTGCTCTGCCATGTATCATAGCAAAATTGCCAGCTAGCACTCCAATTTTTCAACTCTTTATTGTTGGTAATGAGGTACTAAAGGGAAAGAACACAGGACAAGTTTTGGATGCTAAATTCAACCTTTAGAGCTCACTCAATGGTTTAGAGAAAAAAAAGAACTGAGATTAAAGCAAGGGCAAGTTATCCTTTGTTAAGGGCAAACTTGACATTGGCAAGCACAGGAGGTCTTAGGGAGCCTAGCAGGGTCTTCTCCAGGGTCCACTGTATGTGAATTCTCTCTAGAACCCAAGTGACATGCAGAATAATGCTGTGTGTTCTGGTGATGTGCTTTGATTTGAAAGATCAACCTTCTACAAACTTTAAATTAAAAAATTTTAATTCATACATAACAAAAAAAGCTTACATTTAGTTTATCAAGTTGACTCTGAAATTCAACAGAGAAAAGGAGATACATTGAGGACAATTTTATTATAAGCTTTACTTGCCTCTCTTTTATTTTTCTGCCATTATTCTTTGTACAGAACCAAGAGATACTTCTCAACTCTCTGGTAACTCGACTTCTCAGAGATTAAGTAAAAGTAGTTAGGTCTGAATTATCTAACAATCATTGGAATTTATTTTGCAAGAAATATTTCCCCAGTACAAGTGTTCATTTTGTTTTGTTAACATTTATTAAATTCATTGGGTATCTGTGCCAGATGCCATATGAATTCATTGATAAAATGGAAGAATTGTAAAAGATACTTTGCCATGGAGAGATTTGCTGCAAAGTTGAGCTGTATACAATGTCGTGCATGTACTTGTTTGAGAGGGAAAGAAGATTATCTGCAGGAAATCCAGATATGTGAACTTAAAGAACACACAGCAATAGAAGATTCTTCGATCTTAAGGACACACAGCCGATAGTTGAAAGGAGATTCGGAAGGAAAACTATGAAATCTTTAAAGTGCAGCACATTTGTTTTAATTAACAAGAGAGTGTGAAAAACACACAGTATGTTAAAAACCAGTGAAGTTCTCTAGGCAGACAGGAAGAAGACAGGAAGCCAGCCCTTCCTGCTTGTAGTTCCAGCATCACTGGAAATGAAGGGCTTATTTAGTAGCTCTGTTGCCAAAGGTTTCCAAATAGCTTGTTCCTTGTGCTTTGTTTTGTTTGTCTGATTTTAAGCAATTTCCTTCATGAAAACACAATCCTAAATTTTGTTGCATATTATCTTTGCTGGGCTGTAGCTATAGCACAGTGGTAGGGCGTTTGCCTTGAGTGCAGCCAGCCCAGTCAAGTCCGGTTCGATTCCTCCACCCCTCTCAGAGAGCCAGCAAGCTACTGAGAGTATCTTGCCGCATGGCAAAGCCTGGCAAGCTACCCGTGACGTATTCAATATGCCAAACACAGTAACAACAAGTTTCAAAATGGAGACGTTACTGGGCCTGCTCGAGCAAATCTATGAACAATGGGAGGACAGTGTTTTAGTTTTTATTATCTTTGCTACGATTATATTGGAACGAATAGTAAAATACATATATATATATAAATTAATGAGAAATTTGAGCATTCCTTCAGGTACAGTAACTTTATATACAACTATTATAGAATATATGTTCAGCCAGGAGAGATATAGTAAAGATGTTAAGGCATGTTGCCTTGCATGCAGCCAACACAGGTTCAATCCCTGGCACTGCATGCGTTGCTTTAAAGCCCACCAAAAGAGATCCCTGAGCATAGCTGAGTGTGGTCCCAAAACCAAAATAGATAAATAAATTTTCTCTTTATAAGAAGATTCCGTTTTCCCAAAACAAATACAAAAGTGCAAGCCATCAGTACTATACTATCATCCAATGGGATATCCGAGTGTGAGCCAACAGTGGTACACACCAGTACTAGTGTGTTAAACTAACTGTAAACTGTTTTGTGGTATTTTTTCCTCTCAAGAAATGAGAGAAATTGAATTACTTTGATCTACTTGTAGTACTGATATTAAATTTTAACTT